GCTTGGTAAGAAATGTACGCATTATCCTGCCCATGCAATTGTAACCCCTCTGTACAGTATGTTCACATATAAAATAAAATAAAATTTAAAAAAAAGAGAGAAAAAAAGATATAAATAGATATAAAGTTTTAGGTAGATAGATATGCATATACATGCCAGTTATCTATCTATCTATCTATCTATCTATCTATCTATCTATCTATCTATCTATCTATCTATCTATCTATGTAAAGAGAGAGAGTGCAACGGCTTTCCTTCTCCCCTTCCTTCCCCCTTCCTGGGAAAGCAATGCCTGTGAATTCCTGTGCTGTCATTCTGATGTGTTTTTTTCCTACAGGTACATCTCTAGAGCGCTTAGTCATTTCAGTGGTTTAAAAAAACATACTAAACATTACAACCATATATACACATATGTGTATAGATATTTATTCATGTAACTCTTAAGCCATCATCATCATTTGAGATTTGTTCATTAAGTACTATGTGGTATTCTATAATGCCACTATGTATGGCCATTTAGGAAAATCCCAAATTTACATTACCAATATTGAAATGTACATGTTCCATTGCACGACTATGTAACTAGTAACTATTAGTAAGTATGAAATCTTAAAGAAAACCTAAAACTAGGAAATGAATGGACACTGAACAGGCAATCTATTAAACAATTCTCACTCTCATTGTCTACTTTGCATTCTCATTTTTTGTACCTCTTTCTTTCTTCATATTGTAAGAAACTAAAATCTTTCATAAAGTGAATGTGTCTTAGTCACATGTCCAACTGCCTAATAGGTCTTCATTATAAGCTGCTGTTACTCTTTTACATAAATTTCAAAGAGATTGAATTGCATACATGCACATAGTTGAGAAACAATACTTTCTGCCTTGCTATCTTTCATTTGCTCTCTTTTTAAATCTAGCATTTGGGAAGCTTCTGGTTATATCCTATCAAGATAAAATGAGCAGACATTTTACAGAGAGAGGAAAGAAGATGAGGAGAAGAGGCGCAGGAGGAGAAGGAGGACAACAATGAAAGGAGAGATAGAATTATTAACTACCACATTATTTCCAAACTAAAGCCAGTGTAATGTAAAATTCACTTAGGTGACAACCATCAGTCCTCTTACAACTGCCTATCCCCTAATTTCTTTGAGACAAGATGTTGGGGCTTAAAGGTCTAGATTTTTTCTATGGTATAACCTTTCCTCCACTAGATGAACTATAAGCCCTAGTTGTGAGGGTAAAACAAAGGGAAGACACACCATATGCATGTTATTAAACTTGCAAGGTATTCAAAAGGAGTGCAGGGAAGATCCAGGCTCTGAATTCCTTCTCATGATCACAGCCATTTAATTCTAAATATATACTATAAAGTAAGAAAGGATCTGACTATTCATTTCTCCAAAGTTTATCATACAAATGGATAATAAACATATGAAAAGATGTTTAACGTCTTAAGTCACCAGAGAAATGCAAATAAAATCCAAAATTAAATACCACTGCACAATGACTGGGATGGTTCTTAGATATAAAAGAAAATAGGGCTGGGAAGGTGGCTCAGTGATAGAGTGCTTGCCTCACATACATGAGGTCCTGGGTTCGATTCCTCAGCACCACATATGCAGAAAAAGCTGGAAGTGGTGCTGTGGCTCAGGTGGTAGAGCACCAGCCTTGAGCTGAAGAGCTGAGGGACAGCGCCCAGGCCCAGAGTTCAGGCCCCATGGCCAACAAAAAGAAAAAGAAAATAAGAAAGTATAAAGCATTAGAGTAATTAGACCTTCATGCATTGCTGGTGGGGATCTAGTATGGTACAACCAGTTTGGAAAATAGTTTAGCAGTCTCTCCAAACATTTCACAAGGTGCTGAGTTCAAGCCCCTGTATCACAAAAAAAGTAAAAGATAGGGTGACATATTATAATCAAACAATTCTGCCAAAGGACATATCCATGACATTTGAAAAAATGTCTGAACAAGAATGTACAAATTAATGTTCAGGATATCATTTCCACAATAGTAAAAAAGTGAAAACAAGTCAAATGGTCATGAGATTACAAATGAAAAAGCAAAATGTGATCTGTATAAATGAAATTTGGTTCAGCTAAAAATAACATTTATTGATACATCCTACAATAAATGAATTTAATCTCTCGAAATTATTAGAAACCTACTAAATGAAATACCAGTAAGGTACTCAGCATACTGTCAACCATTTAACTGCAGAGAAATGTTACTCTCAAGTACATCCCTCCAAAGCTGAAAATATAAGATAACCCCAAGTAAGAGGATGGAAAGTTTGTGCTGTAATATGGTATACAAGGAGAAAGTAACAAAAAATATGAAAACAAAATTCATTCTGCTATCCATATATTTCTAATTTATAGTATAGTTTAATTACAGCTTAATTAAAATGCATTATCTCTTAATCATAAAGAAAACTTTGCTGAACTGAAAAGTCACTATTCTAGTCGAAGAAGATACTGCAGATTAAAAAGTGGCTTATCTGGGACATGGTGGCATGCACACCTGTGATCTCAGTGTGCTGGGGGCAAAAGTAGGAGGATCAAAGTCTGAGGCCAGCCCAAGCAAAACCTTAACATCCTATCTGAAACATAACTCCTAGGTTGCGCCCCATAAATACTGATGCAGTGGATCTGAGTCTGAGAAAGTCTTTTCTAAGCAGAAGTCGCTGCTATGCTAAGGATCGTTTTTTTAAGGAGCCATAGTGTAGATGACAAGGGACTGTATTTGAGCAGTTCAATTTTTTAAAAGAATGTTCTCACTCTGGAGCACTTTTAGAAACTGTCCTTACAAATTCCCAATGTTTACTAAGTACTTACTTATATGTAAGACAATGCACTAAAATACTTCACACAAAAATTAATCTTATCTAATCCTAACCACATCATAAGGTACTTATTCTTATTTTACCACTTTATAAATAAGGAAAACATGGAGGTTAAGCAATATATCCAGATTATGGTCTGTGTTCTAGTATCTACACACATCTCAATGCTGAACATGTTTAAACCAGAATCCATAATATCTTGGGTTGAAATAACTGTGTGTTGTCTATCTGCCAAAAAAACACATGAGATCATTCTTTCTAAGCCTCAAAAGTTCTAGAAATATGAAAACAAGAAAAAGAACATTTCACTGATAAACCATAATTTCTCTCTTCTTTTTTACAAATAAACATATATTAATCCTTTTCAAAATGGCTACCATTCTTTAAAATGAGTATTAAATGAATTTCATATAATCTCACTTCACATAATTGAAATTATACTTTTATTGCCATTTCTATGATTAAGGATAATAACTAAAATTGTAGCTACTCAGGAGTCTGGGATCTGAGGATCCCAGTTCAAAGCCAACCCGGGCAGGGAAGACTGTGAGACTCTTACCTCTAATAAACTACTCAGAAAATCAGAAGCAGCGCTGTGGCTCAAGCACTACCCTTGAGCTGAAGAGCTCAGGGACAGCACCCAGGCCCAGAGATCATGCCCCACGACCAACAAAAAATAAATAAAATAATAATAATAATAATAATAATTTCAAACAATACTTGGTTTATAAGTAAAGATTACATACCTTGTTTTTAAAATAAACCTCAATTGGCAAAATGAAACCAGCATACCCAGATTCTTCTACTTTGTAAGGTGGATCTTTGCACACTGAAACATTAAAAATAGGAAAAGATGAGTATCATAAACCAAATAAAACCTTTTTTCAAAAATCACATTGTACCATCTAGATCCCACCCAATTTCACAGACCCTTCAGTCTCTGATCTATTCTGTATATTTTTTCAGAATATATGGCAACAACTTTTGTATCTAAAGCAAAAAACATAAACTGTTTATTGAAATTTGAGTGGAACCAAACTAATCATCATCAACCATCATCATTAATGAATGAACTTTAGGTATTATCAAATGCTCCAAAGCTTTTGGCATGCAACATAGATCCTTTGACCCAAAGTTTGAAAAGAGATACAAGTTTCCTAACAAAAGTACCATCTACATCAGAGTGTTAATGCAAATCACCCCTCCACCTAAACTTTTCAGTAGTTTGAAATGTCCTTATTTCTATGCAACCCTTTTTTCTTAGAATTCTCAAACCCAGGGTCTGTCGATGTTCTTAATCCCCATTAAGACTCATTACATGCTGATCTTTCTCCCCTCAAAACAAATGCTTATTGAAATATTGGTGTGCATACAAACATTTAAAAGTTAATACCATCTTATATGTAAGAAAGCATAGGCTTGTATTTTTTTTCTTTTTTTTTTTTTTGTTGGTCGTGGGGCTTGAACTCTGGGCCTGGGCGCTGTCCCTCAGCTCTTCAGCTCAAGGCGATCGCTCTACCAATTGAGCTACAACGCCACTTCCGGTTTTCTGGTGGTTTATTGGAGATAGGAGTCTCATGGTCTCTCCTGCCCGGGCTGGCTTTGAACCACAATCCTCAGATCTCAGCCTCCTGAGTAGCTAGGATTACAGGCGTGAGCCACCAGCGCCTGGCTCAGGCTTGTATTTCTTGTGGAGTCAGAACAAAATGATTAAGCCAGCACTTGGAGAATAAGAGAACCAATGTCATTCTTTTAAGATTTCTATAAATTCAAAGTCCATCACAAGCCAACTGAAATTAGTCTGGTAAGACTGCAGTTTAGTAGTATAACTTCAGTAAAACACTCTGTGCTGAATATCCAGGCTTGATACACCGGTATCTCTTTGGTAGTGCCAGTTGGCCTTTTCTGGTGTCCTACCTTTGTTACCTACCATAATCCCTGTGCATCACTCTAAGATTGGCCCTTAAATGGGCATAGCATTTTTCATGTGCATCCCGTCCTCCTTCTGCCCCAAACTTCACATCTAAAGATGCCTTCAAATTCTAATTTCTTCACAAAGCTGTTCTCAATCACAAAATAATATTGTCCCATCTCCCTTTACAGTCCCAAAGCATTAACTGCCTGAACTGCTTTGACACTGAAGAGTTCCCTGTAATTCAAGTGATCTCACCTGCTAATTAAAATTCCCTTTCCTTCCTCAAAAGCAGAAAGAACATTTCCTCAAGAAGGTAGTGTCAAGAGCTCAGACTTCAACAGCTGGCACATCTGTGACCAATCCACTATCCAGCTCAAACTCAAGGGTACCTCTGCAAAGTTGTCTCACATCTTCAACCTTGGGCTCCTTTTCAACACAGTGGGATTATGTAGATTAAGCAGGTGACTGTTATGTACTGAATGTTTGTGTTCCCCCAAATTCATATATTGACATCCTCACCTCTGATGGTAACAATATTAGGAAGTGGGGCCTTTGGAAGGCGAAGCCCTAATGAATGGGCTTAGTGCCCTCATAAAAGAGGCCCCAGGGAGCCCTCTCAACCTTCCTACTATATGAAGACATGGCAAAAACAAAGTATCCTGGGACCTTCACTAGAACCCTGCCATGTTGGCATCCTGACCTCAGACTTCCAGTCACCATAACTTCAAGAAATAAATTTCTGTTGTTTGTTATAGCAGCTTGAATGAATAAAGACAGTGATATATGTAGAAGATACAGCAGAGAACCCAGAATACGTACGTTTTTAATATGTAACTCACATGAGAAAAAAAATTTATTAACCTTACATTATCTAGTCACTACGGAACCTCTTCAAATGAAAATAAAAAGGAGCCACCAAATAGAAGGACCTGGTTTGGGGTGAGAATACTCAAGTCTATAGCCCTGAACTGGGGATTGATTCTCTACACAGTTTCTGCTTCCTTTACCTTTAACAGGGAGAAAACCTCATCTACACATCTATAAGTATAGCCTCAATGTGCTATATGGAGGAACTAAAAGTATGAGGTATTCTATTACAAAATGGTACTGCTAATAATGGTACATTGAAAGAAATACTTAGTATACATGAGTACATAGATAGACATGCACTCAAGACAAGATTTCTTTTGTTGCATTTTGGGCTTTGGGTTTTTAAAACAAGGTCTAACTATGTAGCCCACATGGGCCTCAAACTTGCAATCCTCTTGTTTCAGTGTCACAAGTACTGGGATTATAGGTGTATACCTCACCCCCATCATGGTCAGCTGAAGGCAGTATTTTGACATTTGATTGCCTCCTTTTGTCCAATTTAGGAAAAATGCCTCAAAATCATGTTAGGACAATTCACTCCAAAACAAGACATCTTGTTTAACTTTATATGTTTTTCCAGAAAAAAAACTTAAAAAGCAAAATAACTAAGTGACATCTGCCCTATATGCAATGACCACCTGCCAACCTGCCATGCATATTCATGCCACTAAAGGCATTGAACAGTCCCGCAGTTCCCAACTAGCAGGCTTCAGTTACACTCATGACATTTCTAGCCCCAGAACCCTTTCAGAACAGCAGTTTCATGTCCAGGTTGCTTGGAATTAATCATGCCAATGTCATTTAAAGGAAGTTTATTTTGTGGGCTGCTGTACTCGCCAGAGGAGTTATAGCTGGTTTTCTGTACAGCCTTTATATAATTCATTTTCTGTATTCTGCATGCAAATTGCTCCTATTATAGGAAACAGCTGCCAGTGAACACATCTTGAAGTTGAAGATCTTGACTTTTTTCTACCCCTTAAAGGAAATGATCTGCTATGTATTAATATTCTAAAGAAGTCTGATTCTATAAGAAAATATTCATCAGCTCATAAAGCAATTATTTTAAATATGATGTCTTCATCAACAACAATAAACAATGTCCATAGAACACCCTGAGTTCTTAAAACAAACACTGGAAACTTTTTATTTATAATAAATATGCCACATAAATTAGTGGCCATGTAAACACAAATAAGTTATAATTTAAAGATTAGGATAAATTCTAGCCCAAAGAAATTCAAATTAGGGGAAATTATTTATTTGGGTAAACTATTATTTATTTGTTTATTTGGGTATCTTATCAGAATCATTAATATGAGTTTCTAAACTAGTTCTAAAACAGAAATAGTTCAAACTAGATGTGATAGTACATTAGATAGAAATCAACAATCTTCCAACAACTAAAGCTATGTCTAAGAGGAGTCACCTTCTGTAATCCATCAACACTTCATGGATTCTCCTCCTGATGATCACTGACTATTCTGAGACCTAAGCATCCTAAACCCTGCAACTCATTCTTCCTCTTACTTGTTTATGAATCAGATAGTTCTTTATATCCATGTGATAAGAGGCCAAGTTTTAGAGTTCACAAAGGAATATGTATGCCAAAATTTTTGTGACAAAAAGATACCAAATTTTTATGTGACAATAAAATGATAAAAGTAATATTGATTCCTAACACTATGCATATTAACTCAGTAAAAATCACTAGTTTTGATTCCTCATCACAGCCAGCCCAGATGTCACCTCTTTCCGAACTCCCAGGATCCTCCTGCCTGCTTCTCTCACTGTACTTGTTGGGCAGATTTTGGCAGATAACAATTTACCTCTCATATTCCTTCAATGAACAGACTCTAAGTGATTGTATCTATCATTCAAATACATAATTTCTGGCACTAATCTTCAGCCAAACTAAAGGAACTCAACAAGTGTCTGTTGAATTGATTTTTTTTTAAGACTCCTTCTTCACTGATAGTCAGTGCCTAAGAAGTTGCATTCTCAGTAGTAGAAATGAACTGGTATTAGCCAATCCAGCTATTTTCTAAACTCCCTACCATCAAAGTAAACTTTTCAAAACTCATCTCAAGGAATAAAGTACTGCCACAATAGAGTATTCTCTAGAAAAAAAAGGTACCCAAAAAAGAAATAGTAAAAATTCTGAGAGTATCACATTTAGGTAACTGAGTTAACTAGTTGGGTCAGAGATTTCTAAGGCCATTTTGAAACTAATATTCTAAAATCTTAAGAATTTTTCCATCTCTATATATTACTACTCATGTACTCTAAGGCTCTTACTAGAATACATTTACAAAATTCACTCTGCCCAAGAAATCACATGTGCCATGTAGTTCTGCCAGGATATAATACCCAAAATTCATGCTCAAAAACAGCAGAACCGAAGATTCATTTTAAAAAGTAGACTTCCCCCTCACAATAGCAGGAATAATATGCTAATTATACACATTGACCAATAATCTGGTGTGTGTGTGTTTATGTGTGTGTGTGTTCAGTACTGAGAATCAAACTAACAATTTTTGTTTGCTATACTGAACTACATCCCATTAAACTAATTTTAAAGTTGAAAGCAAATGTACACAGGAAGAAAAATAAAAGGGAAGCAAAAACGTCTTGATTTGTATAATCCATATCTTTACTTATTAATCAATAAAATCTTAAGTAGCAAAATATTTAATATTCTCTCCTAAGACAAAAGGAGAGCAGTAAGACTGTCTGTCTAGCAACTCTAAGGCCCTGAGTCAAATCCTGATAATAGTAATAAAAGTTTTTTTTTTTTAATCCTATAGTTGAAGCCAGGTGCCAGTGGCTCCTGTCCGTAATCCTAGCTATCTAGGAAGCTGAGATCTGAGGATGGCAGTTAGAAGCTAGCCTGGAGCAGGAAAGCTTGTGATACCACAAAAGCCAGAAGTGGAGATGTGGCTCAAGTAGTAGAGAGCTAGCCTTAAGCAAAAGCAGCTCAGAAACAGTGCCCAGGCCTTGAGTTCAAGCCAGAGGACTGGCACAAAAAAAAAAACAAAAAAACAATA